CCCAACAGAAGGCTTGGCAAGGGGCTGGGACTCCTTTAAAAGTATAAGATCCTGCTCAGTAGGAGGAGTGTGAGGAGTCGGGTGGGAGAAGGAGTAGGAAGATGTTGGGCTGGAGGAGGAAGGCTGCCAAGAGGCCTAGTGGGATGGGGCCTGTCTGGGAGCCTGGGGGAGGGGAGGAGGAAAACTCGGGACTCACTGGCCCCCTGAGTGAGGACCACCTGTATGGCAGGGAAGGAGCAGCCCAGCTGATAGGACTGGTAGCAGCAGCTATCCTGCAAGCGGTACAGGATAGAATCTGAGTGAGTACACCCTGGGTGGATAGGGGAAGGAGCACTCTGGTTAAAGTCTCCAGATTACTGAGTGAAGAAGAGTTCATCTAGGGTATGGGGTGGTACAACTAGGAGATGATGGCTAGCACTCCAACAGAGACTGTGTTGCTGAAGAAGGATAGGCTTGTGAATAGTTCAGGAAGTTGTCCTCAGTTATCGGTTCTCTTGGGCATCCTATACCCGCTTACCCTATTCAAGTTCTAATCCCCTCAATAAATACCAAAATGCTAAAGGACTGGTTTCTGTCTCCAAATGAAAGTTTGTGTGGAAAATGCTGAATGACTGGCTGTGCAGGACTATGGGGAAACCCAAATTCATATATATATAACTGAAAGAACACACCCAAGTAAACAAATTAACCTGTTCAAAGGATACCTGTCAAAAGAGAGTTTTAAAGTATTAAATAATTTGACTCTTGTTAGTGTGAACAGTCTGTGATTAGGTCTCTTAATTAATTTGCTTTCAGCAATTTGATAACTTACCAATTATCTATGTAATATATTCTGTGTATCCTATGTTGCAAATACCTTGTCTTGTCTGTTCATTTGACTGACTATGTACAGTACAACATAGGTGCATGTCTTTGTTAGCATTGATCTTGATACTTTATGTCCATTTCAATACTAATAAAAACTTTTTTGGATTAAAGCAGTAGTAAACCGCATCCAAAAAAAGCAAGGAAAAAAAACGCCTGCAAGGTAAAGGCATAATGTGCTAGTATGCATTGCATACTAGCACATCATGAAGGACTTACTTTGAAATTAAGCCATCCAGCGAAGAGCTGTCACGGCTGTCTGGGGCTTCCATCTTCACCCAGTCTTCCTTCCAAGTTCCTAAGCTTTGACTGGCTGACTGGCCAAGCCACGATGATGTCACCCCCACACATGTGCGCAGGATTCCCGGGTCATAGCACAGTGCTCTGAAGAAATGGCATGGGTATGCTGTTCCTTCAGAGCACATGCGCTGGCTTTCAGAAAGTTCTAATATCTCCTAAACGGTGCACATTCAGGAGATATTCATTTTACCTACAAGTAGGCTTTAATATAAGCTTACCTGTAGGTAAAATTATTAAATAAGAGTTTACTACCACTTTATAAGAAAAAGCATTAAATAATTTGGACATACAAGTGAAACTCGAAAAATTAGAATATCATGCAAAATTTAATTTATTTCAGTAATGCAACTTAACCCCTTGATGCCGACGTCACACAAATATGCGGCCTCACGGAACTGGGCTTTTTTCCGTGGGGCCGCATATTTGCGTACTTGTCTTTGTGCTGGGAGCGCACCACTCGGCACACTCCCAGCACAAAGACTGTGGTGTCACTGAGAGCCCCGGGTCCCGTTCTAACAATCGGGACCCGGGACTCCGGATTCCGGGTCACATGATCGCTGTGATAGCCTCTGATTGGCTATCACAGTGATCAGTCACTGTGCAGCCCAGCCCCCTTGTTTTTTTCTCTCTATGAATGAAGAAGAGAGATTCATTGTAGTTTTCTAACTCCTGGCATAGAGAGAAAAAAAAAGGTTGTAAAAAAAAAAAAAAAAGAAGATAAATACATAAATAAATAAATAATGAAGAATAAAAAAAAAAGAAAGAAAAATACCTAGATCAAGGTTTGATCTAGTTCAGTGCCAGGGTTAGTGTTTGGGTCAAGGTCATGGTCAAAGGTCAAAGGTCAGGGTCAAAGGTCAGGATTAAAAAAAATTGGTGTTAGTGTCAATGTCAGTGTCAATGTGTTTTAGGTATAAAAAAAACCCCACAAAAACAAAATTCTATTGTTTCTGGGCTATACTACGGGTACAAACAACAAATAACATACACATATATGGTATCGCTGCAGTTGTCAAGAGCTGGAGAATTTATTTTGGGTTGTTCTTTGGTGGAAGGTTATGGTAGTAACAAGAAACATATCCGAGCTATCCATTACCATTTACCACCAAATGAAAGCCCAATTTCTCCTGAAAAAATCAAGGTATAATCCACCTGGATGTACAAAGTAGTTGTGATGATATATATGGTTTTACTAATACATGTCAACATTACAGAATTGTGCTTAGGCATTTAGATCTGTTCTACCCTTAGGCGTGAAGGGGTTAAAAAGTGAAACTAATATATGAGATAGACTTATTACATGGAAAGCAAGATAGTTGAAGCCGTGATTTTTCATAATTGTGATGATTATGGCTTACAGCTCATGAAAGCCCCAAACCCAAAATCTCAGAAAATTAGAATATTGTGAAAAGGTGCAATGTTCTAGGCTCAAAGTGTCCCACTCTAATCAGCTAATTAAGCCATAACACCATCAAAGGGTTCCTGAGCCTTTAAATGGTCTCTCAGTCTGGTTCAGTAGGAATCACAATTATGGGAAAGACTACTGACCTGACAGTTGTGCAGAAAACCATCATTGACACCCTCCATAAGGAGGGAAAGCCTCAAAAGGTAATTGCAAAAGAAGTTGGACGTTGCCAAAGTGCTGTATCAAAGCACATTAATAGAAAGTTGTGTGGAAGGAAGGGAAAAGTGTGGAAGAAAAAGTTGCACAAGCAGCAGGGATGACCACAGCCTGGAGAGGATTGTCAGGAAAAGGCCATTCAAAAGTGTTGGGGACTTTCACAAGGAGTGGACTGAGGCTGGAGTCAGTGCATCAAGAGCCACCACACACAGATGGATCCTGGACATAGGCTTCAAATGTCGTATTCCTTTTGTCAAGCCGCTCCTGAACAACAAACAACGTCAGAAGCGTCTTACCTGGGCTAAAGAAAAACAGACCTGGTCTGTTGCTCAGTGGTCCAAAGTCCTCTTTTCTGATGAGAGCAACTTTTGCATCTCATTTGGAAACCAAGGGCCCAGAGTATGGAGGAAGAATGGAGAGGCACACACTGCAAGATGTTTGAAGTCCAGTGTGAAGTCTCCACAGTCTGTGTTGATTTGGGGAGCCATGTCATCTGCTGGTGTTGGTCCACTGTGCTTTATTAAGTCCAGGGTCAACGCAGCCGTCTACCAGGAGATTTTGGAGCACTTCATGCTTCCTTCCGCAGACGAGCTTTATGGGGATGCTGACTTCATTTTCCAGCAGGACTTGGCACTTGCCCACACTGCCAAAAGCACCAAAACCTGGTTCAATGACCGTGGGATTACTGTGCTTGATTGGCCAGCAAACTCGCCTGACCTGAACCCCATAGAGAATCTATGGGGCATTGCCAAGAGAAAGATGAGAGACATGAGACCGAACAATGCAGAAGAGCTGAAGGCCGCTATTGAAGCATCCTGGTCTTCCATAACACCTCAGCAGTGCCACAAGCTGATAGCTTCCATGCCACGCCGCATTGAGGCAGTAATTGCTGCAAAAGGGGCCAAACCAAGTACTGAGTACATATGCTTGCTTATACTTTTCAGAGGTCCGATATTGTTCTATGTACAATCCTTGTTTTATTGATTGCATGTAATATTCTAATTTTCTGAGATTGTGGATTTGGGGTTTTCATGAGCTGTAAGCCATAATCATCACAATTATGACAAATCACGGCTTGAACTATCTTGCTTTGCATGTAATGAGTCTATCTCATATATTAGTTTCACCTTTTAAGTTGCATTACTGAAATAAATGTTTTGCACGATATTCTAATTTTTCGAGTTTCACCTGCATATTACTGACATGTTTTTCCCTCTTTCCCTCCAGAAAAATTGATAAATACAACAGAAATGTAATCAGTCAGCAGGAATTTCGAGCTGCAATAGAGAGCAGGTAGGTACACTGAGACTGAATATTACAAATTTAATTCAGGTTGTATTTTCTTCTGTGTTATCTGATTACACATTATTACATGTCCATACTTTTCATAAGCTCATTTTGCTATTTATAAGCTTCTGTCTACAGAATGTTCCCTTTTTCAGAGGGATGTAAATGGCTGTGCTTCTCTTTAATCCTCCCACATCCAAGTCCATTTTGGTACGCAAAAAAAACATGAAAAAGGTGTGCATCTTCTTCAATCTTTGCACACCCGAACAGAAGCGGATCAGTTGCATGATGATGCAAATGAACTCACATCTGCCCCCCATAGAGATTTGATGGGTCAGTTTTTCCTTCATCACAAGATGGAGAAAGTCGAAAGGGGACACAGATATAACAAAAGTGACATCCATCCCATCCTGTTGCAATCATGTTTACAGATCCCCTGCTGACATGCAACAGAGAACAGCCATTTGAAAGGGGCCTTAGGCAGTTATAATCACTTCATTTCTGCACATGGGAGAGACTTCCACAGGTCTCCACATTTCTGAGATATCGATAAAGTGGAGGTCATTAACCACCTCCCGCCCGCCATATAGTAATATGACGGACACAAGATAGTTCTCTTGTTCTGGGAGGACGTCATATGACATCCTCCCATTCTCACCGCGCATGCGCGGCTCCCGGAGCGCACGGCGATCGGCAGTGCGCTGTGCCCCTCAGACACAGCAGATCACCGATCCACGGAAAGAGCTGAAGATGTTGGCTCGGTCATGTGATCAGCTGTGTCCAATGACAGCTGATCACATGTAAACAGGGAAATGTTGGTTATCAGCATTTTTCTCCCCACGAGCTGTCACGCTGACAGCTCATGAGGAGAGGAGAGCCGGTAATCGGCATTCCTCGGAGGGGACATGTACACAGATCATCAGGGCAGTGATGATCAGTGTGCCCTGATGATCTGTGTAGCCCCAGCAGCGCTACCTGGCAGTTTCCATCAGTGCCAGCTCTCAGTGCTCATCCATGCCTCCTGCCAGTGCCCATCAGTGCCACATCAATGCCACATATCAGTGCCCATCTGAGCTGCCTTTCATTGTCACCCATCAGTGCCAGTCAATACCACCTATCAATGCCAGTCAGGGCCACCTATCAGTGCTGCCAATCAGTGCCACCTATCAGTGTGCATCAGTACTGCCTATCAGTGCCCGTCAGTGCTGCCTATCAGTGCCGCCTAACAGTGCCAGTCAGTGCCACCTAACAGTGCCAGTCAGTGCAGCCTATCAGTGCCAGTCAGTGCCGCCTGTCAGTGCCGCCTATCAGTGCCAGTCAGTGCCACCTATCAGTGCCACCTGTCAGTGCCATATATGAGTGCTGCCTTTCAGTGTCCATCAGTGCCACCTACCAGTGCCTCCTCATCAGTGCCACCTATCAGTGTCCATCAGTGTAGCCTATCAGTGCCCATCACTGCCACCTCATTAGCGTACATCAGTGAAGGAGAAAATTCACGTATTTACTAAATGTTATAACAAAAACTAAAAACTTTTTTTTTTCAAAATTTTAAATGGTTTTTGGTTTGTTTAAGAAAAAATAAGAATCCCAGAGGTGATTCACCACCAAAATAAAGCTCTATCTGTCACAAAAAAATGATAAATATTTCATATGGATACAGTGTTGCATGACCGCGTAATTGTCATTCAAAGTGTGACAGCGCTAAAAGCTGGAAATTGGCCTGGGCAGGAAGGGGGTATGAGTGCCCTGTAGGCTAGTAGTTAAACCTATACAAAGGGTAAAACTGCATTTAAAATAAGTAGTAAATAGTAAAGTAAATATTCACTTAGTGGATAAGGTCAAGCTGTGTTCAGTTCCGTCATCCAGTCACGCGCTGTCAGTCACTGGCTCTCTGCTCTGCCTCTCCAGCGCTCACTAGAGTGCCAGGCTGTGGAGAGGACAGGAGCGATTATAGCTCTGGCTCTCAGTGGTGTGATGAGAGGCTGAGCCATCTGAGTGGATTCCAACATAAAAGTCGGGATCCTTGTAGAGCCTGGACTGGCTCTGTGATGTCAGATGACAGACGACTTTAGTTCACTATTGGCTGAATCTGGGTCACAGGAGTCCAGAAATAAGTGCACTTCTGTGACCCAGAAGAGAAGTATGGCTGAAAAAGCTTTGGCCATACTTTCCTTAGGTTTCTGTGCTCTGATTCTTGAATTAGACAAAGCAAGTCATTAGAAAAACACTTTTTGCCTTCAATAGAAATCTGGAATGTCTCATCCAGAAAGCTGGATCAGGATTTCTTTTACTCGGGAAAGTAAGGCATTCATTTAAGTGCAGCTCGATTGCTGATGGTGCTATGCAAAAGCAAATCCGTCCATAACCAGGAAGGATTAGGACATTTTATGCAGAACTGGTAGCACATGAGTGTCTGTTGTAGGAATGGGATTGTGGGTACATGTCATCTTCCACTCAATATCTTATCAGACTTATATGTCCATATAACAAAGATATTTCTGTGCATTTCTACCCCCCATCATCTTCCCCCCGCTGCTCCTCTGCCTTCCTCTTCACTGTCTCACAACCTCCGTCGCCCAGCTTCCCACTATTGTGTCCTAATCCTACCATTGTCTCAATATTCCATCACTGTCTCCCATTCAGCTCTCATGCATAACAGCTATTGTTAGATTGTGGATAACTGGCATAAAAATGAAACTTTTATAAGGATGCTTTGGTCATTCAATATAAAGCCAGTGATATGTTAAGAACGTGTCTGACTGGTTTTCTAATTCAGCTGTTCCATGCCACCAGTGTACAGGAACACCTTGGCTACCCATAGACAATAGGGATAAAGCCTGTGAGAGCATGACACTTTTCCCAACTCAGTGATTCATCTAATAGTCAGGCATTTGACTTGTGATTGTTCTATATACTGTATCTATATGTGCCTGCCAGTGACAACATAATATTTCTGTATATTTGCACAAATATCAGAGTTTACCATGCTATTGTGATCTATAGCAGCTGACAATAGACATTGCTTGTTGTCTTCCATCTGTAAGCAGTCGATTCACATTGGTGGACTATCTGGCATATAACCATTGGAGCACTGTTGTTACCTTTGCTAGGTCTCTGTGCCATAGTCAGTTTCTGAACAGTGCTACTCAATGACCAGTAATCCCTATTGCTCTCCCAAAATGAATTTTCAGCTGCCACATGGGTCACAGGGAATTGCGATAATTACATAAAGTCACACATGTCATCTCAGGTCCCTGCAAGCTTTATTATATCATTATGTGTATGTATGTATATATATATATATATATATATATATATATATATATATATATGAATATATATATTTTTTTTTTATTATTATTTTATTTCAGGTACTTATATAGCGCTGTCAATTTACGCAGCACTTTACACACACATATATATATATATATATATATATATATATATATATATCTATATTGTACATTCACATCACTCCCTAACCCTCAAGGGGTGTACAATCTAAGGTCCCTAGCTTACATTCCTACATACACATACTAGGGCCAATTTAGACAGGAGCCAATTAACCTACCAGCATGTCTTTGGAGTGTGGGAGGAAACCAGAGTACCCGGAGGAAACCCACGCAGGCACAGGGAGAACATGCAAACTCCAGGCAGGAGGTCCCGTAGCTGCATATAATATATAATATACATGAAGGGTGTTATATATACACAGTATATGTGTGTGTGTGTATATATATATATATATATACAGTCAGGTCCATAAATATTGGGTATACATAAAACCCAATATATTTACAGTCTAGGTCCATAAATATTGGCGACATCAACACAATTCTAACATTTTTGGCTCTATACACCTCCACAATGGATTTGAAATGAAAGGAACAAGATGTGCTTTAACTGCAGACTGTCAGCTTTAATTTGAGGGTACTTACATCCAAATCAGGTGAACGGTGTAGGAATTACAACAGTTTGCATATGTGCTTCCCACTTGTTAAGGAACCAAAAGTAATGGGACAGAATAATAATAATAAATCAAACTTTCACTTTTAATACTTGGTTGCAAATCCTTTGCAGTCAATTACAGCCTGAAGTGTGGAAGGCATAGACATCACCAGATGCTGGGTTTCATCCCTGGTGATGCTCTGCCAGGCCTCTACTGCAACTATCTTCAGTTCCTGCTTGTTCTTGGGGCATTTTCCCTTCAGTTTTGTCTTCATCAAGTGAAATGCATGCTCAATTGGATTCATGTCAGGTGATTGACTTGGCCATTGCATAACATTCCACTTCTTTCCCTTAAAAAACTCTTTGATTGCTTAGGCAGTATGCTTTGGGTCATTGTCCATCTGCACTGTGAAGCGGCATCCAATGAGTTCTGAAGCATTTGGCTTAATATGAGCAGATAATATTGCCCGAAACACTTCAGAATTCATCCTGCTGCTTTTGTCAGCAGTCACATTATTGATTAAATACAAGAGAACCAGTTCCATTGGCAGCCATACATGCCCACGCCATGACACTACCACCACCATGCTTCACTGATGAGGTGGTATGCTTAGGATCATGAGCAGTTCCTTTCCTTCTCCATACTCTTCTCTTCCCATCACTCTGGTATGAGTTGATCTTGGTCTCATCTGTCCATAGGATGTTGTTCTAGAACTGTGAAGGCATTTTTAGATGTCGTTTGGCAAACTCTAATCTGGCCTTCCTGTTTTTGAGGCTCACCAATGGTTTACATCTTGTGGTAAACCCTCTGTATTCACTCTGGTGAAGTCTTCTCTTGATTGTTGACTTTGACACACATACACCTACCTCCTGGAGAGTGTTCTTGATCTGGCCCACTGTTGTGAAGGGTGTTTTCTTCACCAGGGAAAGAATTCTTCGGTCATCAACCACAGTTGTTTTCCGTGGTCTTCCGGGTCTTTTGGTGTTGCTGAGCTCACCGGTGCGTTCCTTATTTTTAAGAATGTTCCAAACAGTTGTTTTGGCCACGCCTAATGTTTTTGCTATCTCTCTGATGGGTTTGTTTTTTGTTTTTCCAGCCTAATGATGGCTTGCTTCACTGATAGTGACAGCTCTTTGGATCTCATCTTGAGAGTTGACAGCAACAGATTCCAAATGCAAATAGCACACTTGAAATGAACTCTGGACCTTTTATCTGCTCATTGTAATTGGGATAATGAGGGAATAACACACACCTGGCCATGGAACAGCTGAGAAGCCAATTGTCCCATTACGTTTGGTCCCTTAACAAGTGGGAGGCACATATGCAAACTGTTGTAATTCCTACACCGTTCACCTGATTTGGATGTAAATACCCTCAAATTAAAGCTGACAGTCTGCAGTTAAAGCACATCTTGTTCGTTTAATTTCAAATCCATTGTGGTGGTGTATAGAGCCAAAAATGTTAGAATTGTGTCGATGTCCCAATATTTATGGACCTGACTGTGTGTATATATATATATATATATATATATATATATATATTACACACACACAAACACACATGAGGGGCATTCACATCAAGCCGCGACGTTTTTATTTTACTGGTATATAAACGGATTCTAGCTGCATGCAGTAGTAAGTTACAAGTGTTTCCTATTACTGATAGGCGCACATGTTGTGGGCTAGTCCAGAGATGGTTAATCGGGATGGCAGATAACAGTGTTAGTGTGTGCATGAAATAGCGTGTAGTGATGAAGTTTCTTTTGTAAAATCCATGGATATCTACAAAAGACTTCAAGCACAGTATGGCAATGAGATGCTCAGCCGCAGTAAGACATCTGAACGGTGTAAACCTTTTTAAAGATGGCCATACGTCGATCAGTGACGATCCCGGCCATGGTGGTTCCCAACCCTCAGCAGTCATTCCTGTGAACATTCAGCACGTGCAATGCCTGATCCGGGATTATCGACACATAACCTGCTGTGAAATTGCACAAGAGACAAATCTTTTTGTGGGAACGGTGAACACAAGGTTGATGATGTGAATCAGGCTGTTCTAGGATGGTTCAGGCGTGCAGACAAATCTTTCTATGCCAAAGCTTTCCAGGCATTAGTTAAATGCTGGGATAAGTGTATAAATGTAGCAGGGGAGTATATGGAAAAATAAATGCAGTTTCCACACCTTGAAATTTGTTCTTTTATTATAATAATTATCCACTTCTATACCAGGCACTTTTACCCCCTTCCTGCCCAGGCCAATTTTCAGGTTTCAGCGCTCTCACATTTGAATGACAATTGCGTGGTCATACAACACCCAAACTAAAATTTTATCATTTTCTTCACACAACTAGAGCTTTCTTTTGGTGGAATTTAATCACCGCTGGGGTTTTTATTTTTTGCTAAATTAACAAAAAAAGACCAAAAATTCTGGAAAAAAAACACGTTTTTCTTTGTTTCTGTTATAAAAGTTTGCATAATAAATAATTGTTCTTCATAAATTTAGGCCGAGATGTATTCTGCTACATTCCTTTGGTGAAAATAACCCAAATTAGTATTTATTATTTAGTCT